TTCCCCAGGCCCCTCCTCGCCGCCCGTGCCGAGGCAGGACCCCAGACTCAACACCAGCTGCAGCAGAGGTGTGGAGCACTGCCCCGCGGGGCCCGAGGTCCAAGGCGCAGCCGGCTGAGCCACCGCAGCAGTTCTTTGCAGAGGTCTTGTGTTTACCCTGGACCGGGGTAACTGTGGGACTGAAGTCTGGCAGAGGTTTGCAGGGCAAACCTCGGTACCTGCAGGCCCTGGCACCAGGTCAGGGGAGCTCGGTCTCGCTGTGGGATGAGGCTTCTTGCTTTTTGCAGCTCTCTTGCTTAGAAGACCCTTGGCCTACCCAGTAAAGATAATTCCTGTGGCTCCTGGCATTGCATCTTTATTATGTGGTGTTGGAGGGAAGGGGAAGCTCTACTGTTAGTGAAGCCACCGCTCCAGTTTCTTACAGGTGACACCACAGGATCTGAACCATGCTGGCAGTGCAGGAAATGCCATCAGATGCAGCTCATTTTCACATCCTTCCCCAAGCAGGAGAACAGGGTTTGTTTACACAGGGGTTTTGTTTTGCTTTATTTCAGCCCTGCCTTTGCTGAGCACAAGGGAAGGCAAAGGCAAGGGAATTCACCTGCAACTGGCCCCAAACAAACCTCCCATCTCTAAACAATGGAAAACTCTGCTCTGGATGCAAACTTTGGTCCTAAACCTGCTGCCTGAGGAGCAGACCCTGCAGTTTGTGTCCTGGGGGATAGATTGCATCCCCACAGAGAGCAGAGAGGTGGGGAATTTAGCCACAGACTGTTGCTGGAAGGACTTTGTTGCCATGGGGCCTCTTGAAAGCCACACACATAAATGTGGCTGAGCTGAGGCAGGATCAGGTCCTTGGAAGCTAGCTTGAGAATAACAGGCAGGAATACGGCTGGCATGTGTGAGCGCACAGGGAGCTTTCATCAATTTCAGATGCTGCTCTGTGTCTGTCTTTAAAAATCAGTACATTTTCTGATTAAAAATAAAACCCTACACGTCATGACTCCAGCAATGCAGGCTGGGCTGTTGTATTTATTTTTAAAGAGAACAATATAACAGCTGGGTTATTGTGACACCTCCTGCATATTGTGCAGTAGCTTTTTCACTTCAGCATCTCCATATTAGTGAAAACTGTGACAGCTTCATGCCAAGGATTATTAATAGTGCAGGCAGGCTTTATGTCCCCGCAGAATAAGGGTTGGAAAACAGGGTAGACAGTTTCCCTCCAGCTGGTCAGCACCCTGGTCCCCTTTTTACATGTAGAGAAACTGACCCACCCTAGCTTGGGCTTTGCACAAGGGCAGTGAGATACAGTTTGTAATTGGTGTGTGCAGGAGACCAGACTAGGTCACCGCTGCCTCCTTGCAAAGCTAAGGCCTGCCTCTCTGGTGAGCTCTACCTTTGGTGGGAGGCACTGGAGCAAGTCTGGAGCATGTCTTGTGTTCCCTGCCAGGCTTGTCACCTTGCTGCCATGTGGGAGAAGGAAGGGACAATGGGATGCAGAAGGGTTTGGCCCTCAGCTAAGTGATGATTCAGATATGCAGTGCCTGGGTTGAGAGCTTTACCATCCCTGGCCCCCAGCACAGAACAGACTGGCCTTGCAGGTAATAGTCCCCATTCCATTATAGGAATTAGGTATCTATTACAGAGATGATTATGTTAAGTGCAGAAGAAATGTGCAGCATGCAAATGCCGTACTTTAAATCACGTGTTCGAAATCAGGGGCTGTGGGCTCCCTCCTGTACTCTGCAGCGGGAGTGCTGGTGCAAGGTCCCTCACTGTGAGCCCATGCATGTGGCCACTGAGAAGCTTCTGGGCTGGGCCAGCTCATCCCAAGGGGAGCACCGGAGCTTGGGATCCTCTTGCACGGCTGCTGCCTGCGAGGTTTGCACCATTCAGACCACTCCTGCTTCATTTGCAGAAGGGCTCCCGTGTTGTTCTAAGAAGTTACTCCTTTTAGTTAAAAAAACCCTTTGAGCATATGTGTGGGCCGGGAGGCTCATGTTTACTGCTAGTTTGGAAGAACAGATTATGTGTATTCCTGCAGCAGCTAAAGACCTAAACCACAATGTCAACTGCCCTGTGCAACATGTCGTACATGCACATAAGAAGAGATGGCCCCTAAATACACAGCAGGTTGTTTGTCCCATTTTACAGACTTTGCCCACATTAGAGATGCTGAAGGATGATCTGGTGTGCTGTGCCTGCAGAGCGGTTGCTGCCTGTTAGTATCTTCCCATCCAGAATATTGCAGGGGTTGGTCATGATGCAGAGCAGGACAAACTTTGAGATGAGATCTCCAGAGTGGATGGATGCCTTATCAGTCCCCTCAGGTAAGACAAGGAGGGCAGCCGGGGCCAAAGGCGCATTCTTTACCCAACGGTGGCTGCCTTTTAGCACAGCTATGTACACACTTCTGTGAGAGACTCAGGAATATCTGTCTGCCTCCAAGCCAGGTAGCATCTCTGCTCTCCTTTTCCGGCTCACCCCTTCATTGCTCATCTAGATATTATAATTTCTTCTTTAACTTGAATGAAATTTTTTCCAGCTGAGATAAAGCAGCAAAGTTGCCACATAGCAACCTGAAACAACAGGTATTCCTAATGATGGTACTGCCAAAGCCATGAAGCATTTGTCCTTGATACAAACAGGACCGGGCTCTTCCTGTGGTTGATGGAATTCTTTAAACAACAATAATAATTACAAGAGTAGATTGAACTTCCCAGAAGATGAGGCAGAGGCACTCTTCCTGGGCCCCGGGCTGCCAGTATGAAGTTTTCTTCAGCTCTGCAGCATGCACCCTCCACGGCTTTGCCACACAGCCCCCCAGCTCAGACACCGGCCTCCAGAAAGGGCTTGCAGTCCCTCTCCAAGGCATGTAACAGGGGGAATGGCTGGGCAGCCGCACTGCCAGCTCGCTGGCGGCTTTGGCCCCAGTCAGGCTCCCCAGCAGCGGGGGGCAACAGGAACGTGCATCTCAAGTCTTCCCTTGGTCACGGTGAAAGCACAGGAGCCCTGCTTACACTGCCCTGCGCTGCCTTCCCCTCTCTTTGCAACAACTCACAGCCGCTCCCTTCCAAGCGGGAAATGAAATGTTCCTTTATTGGCTTTTACGTTGGCTACAAAATGTTCCTTTCCCTCCCCCCCGCCTTTCCTTACTTTCTTCCAGGAAACACACTAATTTATGGTATAATCTTGGCAAATCCCAATCCAGGGGAACACAAACTCACTTGTGCCTGGTAAATGGGCCTCTCTCCAGCCGGGCAATGTACCTGCATCTGAAGACAGGGGAATTATAACCTTGCCCAAGCAGTGGGCCTGCATGTGTCAGCAGGGGTGAATATGGCCTGGGCATGGTAGCAAAACAGCACATGGAGGAGCCTGCCTTAAACACACCCTGGTAAAAGGAGGGGATTCCCACAGCCCACCTCAGACCTGGCTCAGGAAATGAGGGTTTTTCCAGTGCAGGAAGGGAGCTCTGAGCACGTGTGTAGGAGCTCACCAAGAACCAGTATTTGTTTGCTACAAGGCTGTTTTATGGCAACATTGGAAAGATGCAGCTGAAGTGGATGGCTCCCCCCCACTCCCCCAACACCGTGGCCAGGAGCAAGGTCATGCCAGGCTCTCGCTGCACCCAGGGCTGGGTCAGGGTTGGGCTGAGCTTGCAAGTGGGTTTCCAGGGAGCGTGTCTGCTCTAGGGAAGCCGGGCCACCCTTTGGAGGGGCCGCAGAGGGCAGCCAGGGACTTGGCTGCTGACATTGATAGCTTAGTCGAGGGCCTGAACACTGCACAGGGACTTGGCATGGGAGGCTGGCAAAGGGGTCTCCAGGCCTGGGCGACCAGGACACGGGGGCTGGAGGAGCCACTTCCACCTCTCCCGTGGCACCCTGCTTGGCATCAGCCTTCCAGGGAGGAAGGTGCTGTGCCTGCCTTTAGCATCTCTGTAAGGCACTGGGGTATGCATGGTGATCTTGTGGCATGCCTGCTGGCCTCGCATCTGCCACCAGCCATGTGCCCTCAGGTTGTACCACACCGTGTCCACGCTGAGCTTTGCCTTTCACCACGTCCTGAGCTTGCCCAAGCCTGTGGCCTTGTCTGGCTGGAGAGCAGAGGCAATCTCCTGCTCAGAGCCAGTGCAGGACTGGACCTCTCCGTGCCTCCATGCTGGTCTCCTGCCCGCAGAGGCTGGAAGGAAGATCCTGCCGTTGCTCCCACTTCCCATGACATGTGTGTCTAGGGATGTTCTCGCTCACCAGGTCGCCTGGCCACTGGTGCTGGAGCCTGGTTACCCGACGACTGGGAGTTTATATTTAGCACTGCTAATGGAGCAATAGGCTGTCCCAGTCCCTGGCCCCAGCAGGAAAGGTTCATACAGGGATGTCCTAATGAGACCAGAGCAACTTCCTATTCGTTCCTAAAAGGAGCAGTCTAACAAAGCTGCCAAAAATAAACCTGTTTAATGAAGAGCCTTTGTAAATTATTCAGATATTATATCCCATTCCCGCACTGGTTCAAGGAAAGAGGCTGTACAGACACTTTCTTCTCTGAAACTCTGGACACAAGGTGGAAGTCATGCTGTCATTGCAATGGAAATGTAGGCTCTAAGATCCTGCTTTTACCCTGAGAATACTGTCTCTTTTACCTGGAATTAAATTGGAAGAAATAAAAAAGGCACAGCAGCAGTTCAGGCCCTGAGACAAGGAAGGTTCCCCCCACACACACTTCAGGACCACTCTTGAGTCCCAACACCTAAAGCTGACCATGTACACAAGTGTTTTGAAGGATCAAGTCTGAGAAATTTGGGCTTCCCTGGGCACTGCATGCCTCTGCGGTGTGGACAGGACCTTGCTAGAAGTGGCATGGTTCAGCCAGCGGTTCCTCCTTCGCTTCTCAGTTGTGGTTTGAATGCTATGGACTCTTTCTGGTAGAAACAGGACTGAGACCCACCAAACTCATTAAATTTCAGCTGCCATCCATACACCAGCTGCTAATAAATCCCAGTCCCTCCCCAGGATGTAAAGCCTGGCTTTGCAGAGTGCCATCCCCCACTGCCACCCCATATTCAGGCATGTGTGAGGCATTTTATAAGGTACAGTGGTTGGCAGCTTGCGGGCTATTAGCCCATGCCACACTGCTGGTGCTCACAGGCTTCCTCCCTTCCACCCTCCCTGTTTTCCCAGCCCATCTTCGCAGGCAGCAAGGCAGCGGGGCTGGCTCCTGCTGTGCGCAGCCCTGCAGCTTAGCTCTTGCTGGGGCTGGGCAGAGGAGCTGCCTATTTCTGCTCACCAGCAGCTCTGCTGGGTACACGCCTGACCTCCATAGCTTGCACACAGCAGCAAAACCCTTGTGCAAAGTTTCCCTGCTGACTTTAATGTGGAACCACGTGGTTTCCAGTGCTTTGAAGCTGCAGGGGTTAATTCTGTGTTTTGCTTCAGCCTCTCAGGACTACATTTATGTTTCTCTTCCTGTGGTTCCTTGCACCTTGCCATCAGCAGTTTGCTGTTGCAGACAGTCAGCAGGGACTGCATGTAGGAACGGGTAACATCTCTTGGGGCACAAGGAGGGGTGCTTGGGACAAGGGAAGCATTTTCATGGAGCATGTCTCAGTCAGGATCCCTCGGGTGGGTTGCCTGTGGGCCATTCCCACACATCCTGTGACGTAGCCCTGCTCTCCCAGAGCAGAGGTTGCTTTCTCCCCTCTCCACACACTGCTGTGATGGGCCGCACACAGACTCATTGCCTGCGACTCAGGTCAGGCCCCCGCAGGGACGTCAGGGGCTTGCAGGACCCCGGCAGCATCCCCAAGGGCGAGAGCAGAGGCTGGCAGGGGGCTGGCATCCCGGCAGCAGGCTCCCACATTGCTGAGCTGTCTGACAGCCCCTTGCCTGCCCCTGCCCCTTCCCTCTCCCAGGAGTCGCTGCAATGCAGCCGCTCAGACGCCTCTGCAGCACCGTGGCTGCCTGCGGGGCGGAGCACTGCCGGCTGCCTGGTTTGCTCTGAGCGCTCACTGCTCGCGTGGAGGCAGATCTCACAGCTAAGGGCCTGGGGACCAGGCTGTCCGTGCAGCACCTACAGTACAGCCCACCCTTTCACCACCCACCTGCCGTGGCTGGGCCAGGGCCCCAGCTCCCTGCCACATCCAGGCCAGCTCCTGTGGGATCCGAGGCCACGCTGTCCCTTATCACTCCTCTTATCACGGGGATTATTGGCTTTTTATATTAAACTTTCTCCAGATAGCATAACGCAATCTACCAGACGCCTGGCAAGGGCTTGGCAGGCCCAGGAGTGATTTATAAGCAATCTGTCTCTGCAGTGTCTCTTTCACATACAGGCTGTTTCCTCCTCTCCCTCACCACCTCCCAACTCTCCCCATCTCCACTGCTATCAGCCACGCAAATCTCCCTGCTGCAGCAAAGGGCTGGAATGAGCCATGGGGCTGCCTCACAGAGGACGGGTCCCGCATGCCACCAGCCGGGACAGCAGCGACATCCCTGCCGCAGCCTTCGGGCCCTGCCATGTCCAGGCGGGCGGACGGCTGCCCAGGTAGGAAATGTTCTTATGACACCGGTGGTGACGCCAGTGCCGTGGCCGTGCAGTAAGGTGGCTGCATCCCACGGGGGTGTAGCCGTGTCCCCTGGCATACGCCCTGCTGTTCATTATCATATTTCTCACATCTTCCTTTGAAATATCTGCTGCTGGCCTCTGTCAGGGACAGATATTGAGCCATTGATCTGATCCTGCCCTCTGCAGTCACCCACAGCCTCCTCTGCTCTGCCAGGCGTGGGGGCAGGCCAGAGAGGCAAAACCCCTCCATTACAACTGCTGACTTAAACACTGTCCTGGGAATTGACACGAGGGTGCGGCATTTGGACAGCAAACACAAGGCAGGCTCCCGATTTAGTTACTGACACCTTACTGAAGCAATAATTTGAAGCTGTCTCTGAACCCCGAAGCTGGGCTGGTTCCTACAGTCGGTCCCACTTCTCAGCTGCAGCACTGTCTGCCTGGCTGAGAAGAGGAAACCAGCAGGTTCCTGCACTCAGCCTGGACCGAATGCAGGGTCCTGGTGCAATGGCTGCTCTGTCCGCTGCATCCCTCGGCAGATTTCACTGCTCATCGCTGAGATTCCCCTGCCAAAGCCAGGGCCCTGCGCCTGGCAGAGGGGTCAGAGCTGGAGCTCAGCAGCCAGGGCCGGCACTGGCTGGGGTGGCTTTGTGGGGTCATTCTTTGTCTTGAACTCCAAGGAGCAGCTGATAACCCCGGGAGCTGGCAGAAAGTATGTGCTACCCTCTCAGTGCCCTGGCAGTATCAGTGCTGCCACAGAGGCTGCCCAGCACATGGTGTTGGGACAGCCTGAGGTGACCTGCTGGTGTCTCCTCACCTGCTCCCAAAAGTGCTCATCTGCCATACATCCCCAGCCCAGCCTGCAGGCTGCCCAGTGCTCTCTTCCCCCTGTTTCAATGGCAGTGATCCAGGGCTGGGGTCCTGGGCAGCATGGGCTCACGGGGAGGTGAGCAAGTCCTACGGCAGACAGCAGTGCGGCACACAAACAGAGCCTTGGCAGTGCACCCACCAGATGCCATTCTGCAGTGCTGTCCCTCACCCCCATCACTGCCCAGCCCCGACTGCTCTGTCCCCCAGGACACCTAGATGCTCATGACGGGACACAGCAGAGCCCCAGCAGCTCAGCTCCCGCCCAGGGCAGCAGACAAAGCACTTGTTCTGCACCATATCCCCACATTACTATGCCCTTTTCCTGGGGAAACTGTCTTGCTGCTTGCCCTCAGAGGCAAAAATGAACCTCATCCCCCTCATTCCAAATTCCCCACCTATACCAAAAAGAAAAATGAGAAACTGCCCCATGGATGTGCACAGGTCCCAGCCAGGGATGGCCTGTGGGCAGAAAGGGCCTTTATCCAAGGAAAAGCCTTGGTCTGGGCAGGCTTTTTACAGCTGGTAAAACATTTCCACTCTCTTTGATCCCGTTTTATCAGTGACTTGGAATAATTGGGTTCCATTCCTCATGGTGGCTGTCCCCCGCTTCTGCTGTGGCCTGTGTTTTTGCTGCAGACTGATTAGGGGTAATTATCATCCTTTTTTCCAGTTGAAGTGCAAGGAACAGTTCACACTCCTTGCAGGAAGCAGGAAAGGGATTTTGCAGCTGAGGCATGATGAGGAAGCACATGGCAAGGATGCCTGAAATCGCCCGCTCCTGGGCCAGAGCTGGGACAGCATCAAGCTCCAGAGAAGGGCTTAGCTCTGGGTCGTGTCTCTGAGGCATTTGGTGGGAGATAAACAAGAAGTTTGAAGCTATAATATAGTCAGGAGGTCCAGGGGAATCCACTGACCCTTTGATCATGAGGAGGCTCCTGGGCTGATTAGTTTCCAGAAGCAGCTTTTGAATCCCTCTGCATACGAAAGAGAGACTGAACCTGATGGAGGCAGTGATCAGCAGGGGCTGGAATGGGCAAAGGAGGGGCTTCTAGACCAGGCCTGCTGTGTGTCATGGGCATGGCAAGGACTCTCACCTCTCTCCTTCTCTGTTTCCCTTGCTGGACAAAGGGAGTAATGAGATACCAATTTTAAGGTCAAAGGGATCATCCAGGCTTTCCTCCTGCCTAATGTGAGGCAGATAATCTCCCCCCTATATCACATTCCTCCTGCCCCTGTGCAGGATCAGTGCTCATCTACTGCATGGGAGCTCCATCAAATGAATATTTGCAATGATTTCTGAGATTTGCACAGGGAAGACAGTTTACTACACCCTTAAGTGTCTTCCTGTACTCAGCTAGTTCAGCAGCGCTGCATTCCAGGTAGGGAGAACATTTCTTCTGGACCTCAATTTATGACAAAACACTGAAGCATGAGGCTGGATTGATTGCATGAGGAGATTGTGTCTTAGTAACTCGTGTGAATGCTGCAGCAGCTGTGCTAATTCATCATTCCTTTATTTATGAAATCTATGTGCAGGTTGAGTGCAATTAAATTATGTGCTTTGGGATCCTAGGGGATGAAAGGATCATGGTAAATGTAGGTTTGTTATCCTGATTTACTGTGCACTGAGCCCACCTACAATGGCCATGACAAACCAGATGAGAAACATAAGGTTTAAAAAACTAATCCAGCAATTGCTGTCACAGGCTGCATTTGTCAGCGTGTTTGATCTGGGTGCCTTTCCCCCTCTTTTCAGAGAACTCAAGTCTCCTTGTGGCATCTTCCTGTGACAGGCAACTGAAGAGCTTGTAAAAATAATTTTGGGGGAGGCTGAAACCTATGACACCTGCTCTGCAGTAATAACACCTGGCATGCTTAGGCTTTAGGAAGAGACCTTATGCACCTTGTAGGTACTTATTAAGTACCTCTTGTGGCCTCCTGGGCAGCATTTACAGACTGGGACCTGCAGCACAGAGAAGGAGATGAAGGAGCTGATGCAGGGGGAGTCCTGGCTTATGCAAGGTTAGCACTACTGTCATGATTTTACTGCTATAAAGGTGCTTTCATTTATCAAAAGACATATTGCTTTCCTTTTCCTTACCATAAGGGCTGTGCTGGCATGTGATGGGAACTGCTGACCATGCACTGGCCAGGAGGGGGTTAAAGAGTGGTGGGGGGCCCAATCCTGATCTGAAACACCTGGGTCAGGAGGGGAAGGAGGTATTAAAGGGGTGGAGCTGGCCAGAGGCAGGCTGGTGGCATCTCTGTGGGCCTGTGGCTTGCTAGTGCCCTCCTGTGGGAGGCGAGGCTGGTGGTGGGTGTTTTACGTTCCTTGTGGCATGCTGGGGCCGATGGGCCTGGATGCATGCCCAGGGCTGGAGGTGGTGCTGGGGAGACTGAAATGAGGCAGTTGCAGGGTGCCATGGGCAAAGGGGTGTACTCAGGATGAGGTGCTGTGAGACAAGCCTAGCTGTGACCTGCTGGCACATGTGGGTGTCTGGCATAGGCTGAACTGACATGGTTTGTCCTCAGCTCTTGGTAGGTACTACTGGACCACCCTCTGGCTACAAGCTGCAGTGACCCTATCCTCTTCACCGTTGGAAAACATGCCCTGCTTTCTGTTGGCCCCTGGCTTCTCCTGCTTCTCTGTAATGGCTCTGCCTCTGTCCTCCTCAGATCAGAAAGCCCTCTCTGTGCCTGGGTTGTGCTGTCAGGAGTGCTGGTTCCGCTGGCATGAACCCAGAATGTGCCACTGATGCATGAACAGGCCCTCAGCATCACAGGCATGATGCAAAGGCCCTGGTGTTTTCTAATGCAGCCTTGCTGTTGTGGCCTGCCCCACGGCAAGCACTGGGCATGCAGCTCCCTCCCAGAGGAACCTGTGTCTCCAGTCAGGGTAGTAATGGCAGAAAGTTTGGGGAGGAAGGGGTGCGCTTGCCTTTCCATGTGCTTTGAACATCATTGCAGATTAAGTATGGAGGGTGTTTGACACAGCAAGGTTGTACATCATGCTGCTTCAGCCTGCCCAAAGGGAAAAGCTGAATGCTGGAGTAACTCTTGTCCCATGATAGTGGGAAAGTGCCGTTGCTCCTTCAAGGACTTGGGCAGCTCCCAGGGTACTGGCAAGGGATGGGGGTGAAGGGCAGACAGGCCAAAGAGGAGTCAGGGTAGATGGCAAAAGCAGGCAGAGGAAAGTGGAAGCCCAAGGAGCAGTGGTGAACCTCTGTGAGAAGGGGAGAACTCAGGGTGGGAGTCCAGTGTTTACAGCTGGGGAGGGAATGAGCTTTGTTTTTTTAAAAAAAAAAAAAAAAAAATCCCACCCAGTAACTGAAATAGTGTGAGTGACCCCATCACCGCTAAACCTGCAGATTATGGTCAGTGGGTCTCTGGGCTGGATGGAAAGTGTGCTCTGGCCCTTAATTGTGAGCTCATTTTAAAAACACACATATGAGAAATAGCTCAAGTTTCCTCCCAGGTGCCTCGGTAGGAGTTGTTTCACCTTGCTTTGTTCCTTAAGCACCTGTACACACCAGGAATTCAACTGTCCCTGCACAGTCCTCACCGGGCAGTTTGGTGTCTAGTCTGCCTGGCCCTGTGGGGCTGACCTGGCTGCCTGCATTCACTGGCTGGTGGCATGCTCTGCTGCATGCACAAGGGGTGCTCCTAGGGCTCCTGCAATCCCTTCTCCTTGCTCTGTTCCAGACAATACTTCAGTGATCCCAGTGGTCCTGGCCACTCATTAGTGCTGATGAGAGCTCAAGGTTGTGTCTAATTGATGCCACCCCTTCCCAAGATGGTGGGAAATGCTGCTGCTGCTGCAGGTGTAGGCAGGAAACCTTGAAAGGGATGAAAAAGGAAGGGAGCAGGTGTGAGGCTACAGGAATGCTTGGGAGGGGCTTTAAGATGGTTTTTTTTAAATGGAAAATGGTGAGCAGCTGAAGCCCAGATCAAAGAGGAGAGTGTTGTGTCCTGTCCTGTTCCTCCCACCAGCCAGCTTTAACGAGAGCCTTGTGTTGCTAGCACAGGGCC